GGCCCACGCGTCACCATCTTCTGAGGAGCCGGGAATAGACATCGAGCCGCTCTTGTTAGCAACTGAATCAGATGAAAGGCGCCGGGCGTCAAAGCCGTAGCGGGAATGTGCTGCCGTCACCCGGCCCACAGTCATCATCATCCGCTCGGAAGTGTTCGACGTGTATCACTGTGAGAGTTTCCTAATTAAAACTGGCCAGAGTGCTTAACTGAAGACACTTCCGGTGAGAGACTGAAGCCACAGAAATACATAAAAAGGTTGCCTTGAGCAGAATGAATACGAGGTCTTTATTCAACGATGAATGTTTCATTTATTCTGAAGACCTTTAACAAACAGGTTTCACCAGAAAGTAGCAAAATAAAAAGAAAGGCAGATACTGTACACCACTCTATACCGCTCTTTTGTGATCAAATTACTGAAAAGCAAGTATTCAGAGACTTATAATATCATGATATATACATATAATGATGCCAGAAGAATATTATTATATGATCCAGGTAATGGAGTGCAAGTGAGGTGTTTTTGGCTACAGGAGTATATACTTTTAATAATGTGTTAAATAACCTTATGTATGAATTTATTTGCCAACTTAATGAATCATCTTGGGCTTACCCACCATAAGTTCCAGTGCCACACGATGCCAATCCTTACTGTAGAGACATTGGTATAACCATCCCCTTGTTTTGTGCCCTGTTAAAATAATGATTTTTTTTAGTATGTGCTTTGTATATTTGCTATATACCTTTTTTACATGTAATTTATCCTTTGTAATGTTTTGTATTTTATCTGGACCTTGAATCTGTAGTAAAGGTTTGATTGATCGATTGATTGATTGATTGATTGATTATACAATATATTCACTTCAGTAAGCAGCTGAGTGTGTGTGACCATGCTTCAGCAAATGACCCCTCTGTAGCAGTAGAATCGATCTGAAGGGCTGGATCCTGGATTGGACTTGGTGTTGGGGGGGGCGGGGGGGGATACACTGGAGTATAAATACCTCCTCCACTGAATGCTAAGGGCACTTCGGAGACAGAAAAGCCTTCATGAGCATTTAGTAATTCCCTATATATTTAAGGATCTGATGATGAACACCCACTTCCCAGCAGTCTTTTGTTAAGCGTACAGCTCAGCTTTTAAAAACGACGTTCATTCATTTATTTTCAGCAATTGCATTACAGTCTACAGAGGTCATTGCAGTTCATTGCAAGGCGTCTGATTCTTTTGAAGACAAAGTGGTGCCCAATTTAACGACCAACTCATAAAATAACCAGTTTATTCAAATATAAAGAATTATAAATAATAAAATATATAAAAACTTTTAATCTTCCGTGTCTGGTTGTCGCGTAGTTTTCTCTGCATATAAAGAAAGCAATAATCTCGTAATTTTGAGCCTCCTAAGCGCTGCTAGATCAACACATTTTATTTTAGTTGGCTTAGGGTGGATAACAGTACCATGACGTGAGTGATGTAGCACTTCACCCCCCAGCGGGAAAGCACTTTGAGCTCTGCAATCACGATGCTCCCAGCGTGACGCATGTCGCTCCAGATTTTTGGCAGCGCCTACATTTCCAGCCACCTGCACACTACAACACACCCATCTCTGTAAACCTCACATCCGCATCGGGAGATGTTATTGAAGCGACTGGTTAGATCCAGCCACGGCAATTTGAGTGTCCCCCGCAGCGGTACGCAGAGGGCTGGCACAATGACAAAGGTTCAAATTATTTATTAAAACTCGGTGACGCTTTCTTCTTCAAACTCACGCCTCCTGGTGGAGATCATTTCCCTGCTGTGGAAGCTTATTTTTATTAATAAATTTTGCGTGCGTGTGTAGTTACCCTGCCACCTCGTGGCTAAGCCCTACTATTATGATCTCATATATTTCTGTACTTTTTTGGTCTTCCGGGAAATTTCAGTTACATCTCATCCAAGGTATTCCCTGCCACGTGTCCTGTGCTTACGGTGCTTGCTGGAGTAGATTCTAGACTCATAGCGAATATGTACTATTCTGGAAAATAGATGGACTGATGGATGGATGTACACTATATTGCCAAAAGTATTGGGACACCTGCCTTTACACACATATGAACTTTGAACCCATTCGTAATACATTGTCTTTAATATGGAGTTGGCCCAACAACTTCAACTCTTCTGGGAAGGCTGTACACAAGGTTTAGGAGTGTGTTTATGGGAATTTTTGACCATTCTTCCAGGAGAGCATTTGTTAGGTCAAGCACTGATGTTGGATGAGAAGGCCTGGCTCACAGTCTCTGCTCTAATTCATCCCAAAGGTGTTATATCAGGTTGAGGTCAGGGCTCTGCAGGCCAGTCAGGTTGCTCCACCCCTGAAAAACAACCCCACACCATTATCCCCCCTCCACCAAACTTTACACAATCCAGTCAGGCAAGTACTGTTCTCCTGGCAACCACCAAACCCAGACTCGTCGATTGGATTGCTAGATAGGGAAGTGTGATATTATGTCACTCCAGAGAACACGTTTCCACTGCTTTAGAGTCCAGTGGTGGCATGCTGTACTCCACTGCATCTGACGCTTTGCATTGCACTTGGTGGTGTAAGACTTGGATGCAGCTGCTCAGCCATGGAAACCCCTTCCATGAAGTTCTCTATGCACTGTTCTCGAGCTAATCTGAAGGCCACATGAAGTTTGGAGGTCTGTAGCTATTGATTTCTGTACACTGTGCGCCTCAGCATGCGTTGTCCCCGCTCTTTGATTTTATGTGACCTACCACTTCATGGCTGAGTTGCTCTTGTTCCCACTTACTTCCACTTTGTTATAATACCACTAGCAGTTGACCGTGGAATATTTCATAGCAAGGAAATTTCATGAATGGACTTATTGCACAGGTGGCATCCTATTATGATACCACGCTTGAATTCACTGAGCTCCTGAGAGCAACCCATTCTTATGCAAATGTTTATAGAAGCAGTCTACATGCCTATAGGTGCTTGATTTTTGCATTTATATAATGATATGATTTTAAATTATTCCATATGGCTGTGGAAGTGAATGGAACACCTGAATTCAATGGTTTGGAGGATTGTCCAAATACTTTGGGCAATATAGTGTATGTCGCAGTATTGTTCCGATCATTATTAGGTTTGCAAGAATTTAAATTTAGATTAAGCCGCTCTTGGGGCAGCACGGTGGTGCAGTGGTTAGCGCTGTTGCGTCACACTTCTGGGAGTCTCTGGCATGTGTGTGGAGTTGGCATGTTCTCCCCGTGTCATCGTGGGGTTTCCCCCCACAGAGCGAATGAGTGAATGGTGTGTGAGAGTGCTCTGCGATGGGTTGGTGCCCCATCCTGGGTTGTTCCCTGCCTTGCGCGCATAGTCTCCAGCCCCCCGTGACCCTGAATAGACAAGAGTTTACAAAAAAATGGATGAATGGATTAACACGATCTTTCTGTCTTATCTACTAAGATTTGAGCTGAGGACAGTGTCAGTGCCAAAACAAACCTGATGGAGAGGTCCAAGATTTTCGCTTGGAGGGCAACGGTAATGACACTTTAATTTTTAACTGAGTTCACTCAAATCTAGCTATCCAATATCATTTGAAAACCGTTATAGGAGATGCCGGACTCGTGCTCTCTTAATAAAGTAATTAAATGTAAAACATCACAATATATTATTATTGGAATAATTTAGTTATTAACCTATTAATTTTTCACTGGCTAAGAATAGCTGTCATTAAATTTTTGTGACTATATTATTCCATCAAGGGGCGATGAGCCCCAGAGATGTTCACTAGACGATTCATTTCAAATCTCAGTCATAACAAAATGGTCTACAGCAGACCCATAAGTAAAAACGAGTTTTTGGTATCCGTTCCTGCTCTGCCGCGCGATGGACTGGCGGCCATGCTTACCTGTGAATAAGCATTTTGAATATGTAAGATGGAGGGGGGACGTGTCCCCGTGTCCCCCTCACATTCCATAATTATTCACATTTAACATAAAATATTTGTTTATGCCAGTGTGTCCCCCCAACATTCAAAATGCTTCTGACGCCCCCGGGTGGATGGAAGGATAGATAACTGGGCGTGTAATATATGGCCAAGCTTGCAATTCCTATTGTTAGCCACTGGGTGGCACTACATACTTTTTAACGGAAAGCTGTCAGTTTTATTCATTGCAGCTGCTCTCTTGGGTAAGATTATGCTTAATAAGCAAAAGTTTCCGACGTGCAACTAGTAGTTTCTTAAGGGTTCGAGTGACTGTTTTGGTTTCACGGCTTAGTTCTCTTAATTTGAAAACCGTGCAGATGAGACTTGAAGTGGTTTGGCTTTACGTTACAATATTGTTAAATCCAGTGGACGTTTTATAACTAAATAAACTAAATATTAGTGCTAAATATTCCCGGAAGTCAGTGCTTAGTACATCAGTAACACTGCCCAGTAATATATCTAGTAAGAAGTAATTGTGAAACATAATTGTTTAATTTGCAAAAGGCAGTTTTATTGTTATATGAGCACAATACAAACAACCTGACCTAAACTACTAGGCTATATCGTTTGTAATCTAGTTTACAGTAGGCTTTTTCTGTCGCCTCCTGACGACCATATAAACGTCTTTCCTGCACTATGTCCTATCTTCTGTCCAGGTCTTCGAGACTCCCAAAGATACATTTGTTGTTATGTCCACCCGTCTTGTTGATTGTCCTTTGAATTCTCTTTTCCAAGAATTTCGGTCTTTTCCAGTGCATTGGATCTAACCATAATATGCGCAAAATAAGACGCCTTTAGTGGAGTGACTTGCGCTTCAAGTGAAACTTCATAATTGATTGGATAAAAAGTCCATGAACATGAGCTTGTAACTCTCTTACGCCACCAATAATCAGTTGCAATAATTTTAACTTCTAAATGTGATCTCGAAGCAAACGGAAATCATATTTTATCCTGCCAACAGTCAAGTAAAACAAATACAACTATATATGAATCTTCAAATAATATATGTGTGTTGAAACTACTGCACAAGACTTTTACGAAAGATAGTTTATTTCAGAACGTGGGCATGTGAATATTAGGCCTATGCATGGTATACAGTTCTTATTACAATAAGCATTTATGTATGTGCTTATAACTAATCATCATCAAATTAAAGCATTAAATTAATTATCCACTCAACATAATTCGTACTTTTTAAATATGTGCGTTGTCTTAGGAAAAAATCTGACCACTTTGTGATGAAATTGTTTAGGACAGGTCATCAGGATCCGATTCAATTTACATAGTTTGTTCAGATTTACATTACACAGAGTTGAATATTGGGATTTGAACAATAAAACTTCCCCATAACAAATGATATTACCCTCTGAAAGCATCGTGATGGCAGTTAAAATAATAACAGATTTTTTTCCCACACAGTATCCATACTATTATGTATATATCAGGCTCAGTTTTTCAATTCCTATTTTAGACCCATTCATTAAGCTGTTAAAGAAGCACATGGCGGCAACGAGAGTGGTTGTCATTAGGCCTGTTCATTCCTGACTAAATGTAAACTGTCCGGTTTACACAGCAACAGTTCAATTGTAAACGATCCTTCAAATTAGAAATGCTTGTTATAATATATAACATACAATACACATATATGTGATAATTCAGTTGCTAAGGATGAATGTCATAAATAGACGTGAAGTGAAAATTACACCCACTGCCTGTATTATTCTTCTCAGAACAGAAATTGGTCTGTAGCGTCGCTACCTAGCTGTAGACCTACCGTTTTAGTTATTAGTCGACTATACGCAAACTCCAGTTAAGACTACATTAAACTTATAACGTGACCATAACACATAACATAACTCAAAAAGTACTTAAGTACTAAAAAAAGTACTAAGTAGGTAGACAAACCTTCTTAGAACTCTTAAACACATTCCACATGTTTAATGTAAAGTTCCTCGTTAGTCTTTAAGATTATTTCTGAAGTCCACCGCAGACCTGGTTAAACACGTCAAAGAACAATCAGATCCCGAAAATTGTTTGTGTGGTGTATTTGAACTAATTTAATAAATGTAGCTTATATGTACAACTCCAAACGGTAATGAGACCCTCTAATGCGACCTTTTTGATTGTAGGCCTGTTCGTATTCCTTTGCTGTTTGATTCTAGGCCTGTTCCTATTGCTTTTGTGATGTTTGATTGTAGGCCTGTTCGTATTCCTTTGTCCAAGCTGACTGAGTGTCTGCAGTTTTATGTTTTATCTTTCATTTCATAAATTTGTAGATAGGTTGATAATCACAAAAAATGAACGCGACATAATATAAATTCTAATAATTTAGCAATTTTATGCTGGTAAAACCACAAGAAACGTCCCTTGGTTTGTGTTCGTCAATAGTTTCACCCATGCCAACTGAATCATTAATAGAATTTTCAATCTAATAATAAATTCCAGCCACGACTCTGTACCGATTAAGCGGTACTAAAGATAATCAATAATACATAATAATTCGGTAACATTTAGTTTGTGTTTTTGAAAATTGCAAATAAACCTTCTTAAAATAGCCACTTGTTGCAAACAGAATAAAATAATTAAATATCGCAGTAACTTGTAGAGAAGTAATTATGCATGTAATTTTTATTACACCTTTTGTTATGTCCCTAAATCACTTTTCCTATGCAGTTCGTCTAAAATGATTACTGATACATAACTTGAACTTCACATTAGTTTGGTATGCTGCATCTGTAGACATTCACGTATAAATATCATAGATATCACAGACTGAATGTTATAAGAGTTCTTGAACACCATAATTTATTACGCAAATATTTGATTTCCTATAGTAAAACTATCAAAAATATCACAGAACTACTACTGAGACTGAATGCTATCACAGTACTATTAAATACAATGGGGTACTACACAAGTATTGTAGAATACTACTAGACAGCACTACTATAGACAGAATATTACATGGAGGTAAAAGTATGATAGATTACTATTTCAGTATTATACAGGGCTACAGGGATCTTATAGTTTCTTGTAGTATCACTATAGCTTTTTAAATAAGGGGTTAGGTTAGGAATTGTTTCTATATCACAATATGCCAGTCAATCATTTTTAATGCATATTCCTTTGAATCGCTCTAGAATACACATGATGATTGCAATTCTGAGCATCAATATCAATCTATTTGTTCGTTTCGGCTTTACTGTCTTAGTTCGCAACCGAAACGCAACAAGTAGGAAAGCGTTTACAATAAACTTCTAAATGTTACTCTGAACGAAATGTTTTTTTTCCGTTATGAGCTTGGTTATGCATTTGAAAACTATACAAAAATATGAAGAAATGATAAGCACTGTCTTTTTTTTTAAACAAATCACTTCGTTGCTTAGCAGTTTTTTCCGTAATGGCAATGCCAAATCGACTTACCCAAGCTTAACACAACAGAAAAAGTAAAAACTGCAAACGGAACACCAAGTCAATGGCTGAGCAGCATCCGTGTAGTTCTTATGAATCTTAAAAAAGTAATTGCGAACTGCCTCCCAAGCGTGCATCTTTGACTCAAAGACACTCATATAGTTCTCCCTGTTCATCGTTCCCTTTCGATGTTTTCTTTGCACAAACGAAGAATGAAACATCTCAAACATACCCTGGGAAATGTTCAGCATAGACACGGTGATCTGAAATCAAGTATTATGAGATACGTTTTGAGTGAAAATCCATACAATGATGAGTACTGACAGCTTTTCGTTTATTTAAATGTTTTTGCGCGCTGTCGTGATCCTGAATACGCCTTAGGGGTAACTTAGGAGGTTGACAGGCGTCGGCAGGTTAAAGGTATGAGCCCCGGCACAGGGGACCGACGGACATGCCGCCGTGGCTGGGTTCAGTTGCTGCAGGTGATGAGAGTGGGGGTGATAAGGATAGCCCCAGTCGTTGTAGGTGTTCATCATGCCGGACAGAGTCATGCTCTGCACTGGAGAGTAGGGATTATATGCGGAATTAGGAGAAACATCCTCGGCATGCTTTGGACGTACCGTGCCACCTGCCATCTGACAAGAAGTGTAGGATATCGGGCTGGACTGCTGCCCGATCGACGAGGGAGTATTCATGAACCCAGACTGCAGATACCCCGAAGGGGCAAAACAGCCATAACTATCCTCACTGAAAAAGGAGTTCCCCGACTGAAAGTGAGTCGGCGACGATCTGAGGGGCCGCTTAATTCTCCGCCTCCTCCTGTAATTCCCATTCTCAAACATGTCTTCGCATGAGGGGTCTATGATCCAGTAGTTTCCCTTCTCGCCGCCGCCTTCCCGGGGTACCTTGATGAAACATTCATTGAGGCTCAGGTTATGGCGTATGCTGTTTTGCCAGCCTTTCTTGTTTCTCTCGTAAAAAGGGAACTTGGTGATTATGTATCGGTAAATGCCTGACAAAGTGAGCCTTTTCTCCGAACTCTCCTGAATAGCCATGGCAATTAGTGCGACATAGGAGTATGGGGGTTTCTGGCATCTTTGTGTCTTCTCCGAGCCATTTTCCTGTACAGCCTCCTCTTCCATGCGTTGCTTGTCCGTGGTCGTGTTAGCATCTCGGATCTTCAAATGTATCGCGTCATCTCCATGGTTTTGGTAGGTGACCATCGTTACGCAAATCCAAACATAAAAAACCGTGCTCTTCCACCGATGAAGTATATATTTTAACACGCAATGCTGAAAACTTAAGAGAAAACACTCTATATGTACAATTCATATAAGATGCTAGAAAAAAGTTGACTTTTGGGGTTACTTGGT